CACTTGTGCTCCACCGAAACAAGAAATACCAGATCCTGTAGCGTATCCAACACTCTGACTTGAAGTGTGGTAATGAGCTTACTCGAAAGTGTTTTATTCTGTTGAGGAAGTAGTACAAACTTAGACTTTAACCTCAACCTATTCCTTTTACAAACCGCAGTATCTCCTCCCTTCTCTGCTGGGATCGCCGATCGGAATAACCGTGGCGCCGAACTTAACATAGCTTTTCGGCCATAAACAGTGTGGCCAATTACAAACATAGTTCAAATACCGAATACATACTTAACGAAGGTTCGCCTTAGTGGCGCGTAATTCAAACTTGACTGACTATCGATATTCTAGCGGGTTAGCTTATCCGTTCCGCGACAATAATAATAATAATACTTATTGACGCCGAACTAAATCCTGGGAGTTGCCATCTAACACTTGGGGCCCCACCGAAGCAAGAAATTCCAGATCTTGTAGCGTATCCAACACTTGGACTTTAAGTGTGGTAATGAGCGTACTCGAAAGTGAGTGTGTGCTTCATTCTGTTGAGGAGTACAAACATAGAATTAACCGCAATCTTTTCCTTTTAGCATACCGCAGTATGTTCTCCCTTCTCTACTGGGATCGCCGATCGGAATAACCGTGGCGCCGAATTTATCATAGCTTTCGGCCATAAACAGTGTGGCCAGTTACAAACATAGTTCGAATACCAATACCAATACCATACTTAACGAAGGTTCGCCGTAGTGGCGCGTAATTCAAACTGACTGACTATCGATATTCTAGCGGGTTAGCTTATCCGTTCCGCGACAGCTACCATAAGACTGCTCGAGACAGTAATAAAATTAAAATTTATAACTTTTGAGTTTTCAACAGATTTTCAGTACCTTTAAGATATAGCCGTTTTATATTATTCCACAATGTTTTGTAAAATTATATGAAAATCTGACAATTATATCATATAGCTGCCATAGGACCGATCGAGAAATTAATACAATTTAAATTTATAACCTTTCCAATTTTCAACAGATTTTCATCAAATTTAAGAAGTAGCCTATGCATATTATTCCACAATTTTGTGCAGAACTATATGAAAATAGGACTAATTTATCATAAAGCTGCCATAGGACCGATCGAGAAATTAATACCACTAAAGTTTATAACTTTTTCAATTCTCAACCGATTTTCCCCATTTTTAAGATATAGCCTTTTAATATTATTCCACAATTTTTTGTTAAATTATATGAAAATCAGACTAATTTATCAATAACTGCCATAGGACCGATCGACAAATAAATACAATTCATATTTATAACATTTTCACTTTTCAACAGGTTTTCATAAAATTTAAGATATAGCCGTTTAATATTTTTTTGAAATTTTTCTGTAAAATTATATTGAAATCGAATTACTATATCATATAGTTGCCATAAGACTGCTCAAAAAAGTAATACAATTAAAATTTATAACTTTTCCAGTTCTCAACAGATTTTTCATCAAATTTAAGATGTAGCCGTTCTATATTATTCCACAAATTTGTGCAGAATTATATAAAAATCAGACTACTATATCACATAGCTGCCATAGGACCGATCGAGAAATTAATACCACTAAAATTTATAACTTTTCAAGTTTTTAACAGATTTTTATCAACTTTAAGATATTGACGTTTTATATAATTCAATCATTTTATAGCAGATTTATATTATTCCACAATTTTTTGTAAAATTATATGAAAATCGGACCACTATATCATATAGCTGCCATAGGACCGATCGAGAAATAAATACAACTAAAATTTATAACTTTTCCAGTTCCCAACAGATTTTCATCAACTTTTAGATATATCCGTTTTATATTATTTTATTTGATAAACTTTAAGATATTGACGTTTTATATAATTCAATAATTTTATAGCCGATTTACATTATTTCACAATTTTTTGTAAAATTATATGAAATTCGGACTACTTTATCATAATCCTGCCATAGTACAAGATAGAACAGATAGAACTTCGATGACTATACATTTTAAATAATATATATTTGTGTTAAAAAACAATGAAATATTACCTGCTTTCATTTCGTTGACATATATGTACATGTTATAATTACAGTTTAACATTTACAGATTACAATTTTTGTCCATTTCTAACTTTTTTTCCTATCGGAACTATATGATATAGTAGTCCCATTTTCATAAAATTGTACACAAAATTTTAAATGTATTTAAAATGGCTATATCTCAAATTTGATCACATTCTGTTGAAAACTTAATATATTATAATATTTTTTGTAAAAATTTTCTGATCATTCCTATGGCAGCTATATCACATAGTCGTCCGATCTGGCTCCATCCGACATATATACGAGTTAGAGTGTATATAAGACTAACTACAAAGTTTCATTCTGATAGCTTCAAAACTGAGAGACTAGGTTGCGTAGAAACAGACAGACGGACATGGCTAGGTCGACTCGGTTGTTGATCCTGACCAAGAATATATGTACTTTATATAGTCGGAGGTGCCTCCTTCACTGCGTTGTAAACTTCTGACTGAAATTATAATACCCTGCAAGAATAAAGTTATAACTTTTTCACTTTTTAATAGATTTTCATTAACTTTAAGATACATCCGTTTTATATAATTCCAAAATTTTTCGAAAAAGTATATAAAAATCGGACTACTTTATCATATAGCTGGCATGGGACCGACTGAGAAATTAATACAATTAAAATTTATAACTATTTCAGTTTTCGACAGATTTTCATTAAATTTGAGATATCCGTTTTATATTCTTCCACATTTTTGGCGCAAAATAATATGAAAATCGTAATATTTTATCATATAGCTGCAAAAGGACCGATCGAGAAATTACTATTAATATTAATAATAATATTATTAAAGTTTAATTTTTTCAGTTTTCAAGAGATTTTTATCAAATTTAAGATATAGCCTTTTTATTTTATTCCACAATTTTGTGTTAAATTTTATAAAAATCTGGCTTATTTATCATAATTAATTAATTAATTAATTAATACATATAAATCGCTCACTATTGTATAAGTTGCTACACTACAGTAATTTACAATAATAAATTCAGTCAAAATGGAAAAAAATCACACAAAAAAAAAAAAAAAAAAAATACATATAAAAATTATAACTTTTCCAGTTTTCAGCAGATTTTCATCAAATTAAGGATAAAGCCGTTTTATATATCTCCCGTACAAACGATCGTTAGATATAGACAAAAACGCAAAACTGTGAATGTAAAACTGTAAATATAATAAGTATAGGTGAATAAAATGAAGGCTGGCATTACTTTATTGCTTTTTATATCCTTGTAGGGTATTATAATTTCAGTCAGAAGTTTGCAACGCAGTGAAGGAGGCACCTCCGACTATATAAAGTATATATATTCTTGATCAGGATCAACAGCCGAGTCGATTTAGCCATGTCCGTCTGTTCGTCTGTCCTTCTGTCCGTCTGTCCTTCTGTCCGTCTCTCCGTTTCTACGCAAACTAGTCTCTCAGTTTTGAAGCTATCTGAATGAAATTTGCAGTTATCCTTCTATATACTCTTATTCGTATATATATCGGAACGGGCCAGATCGGACAACTATATCATATAGCTACCATAGGAATGATCGGAAAATTTTTACAAAACAAATTATAACATTTTCAGTTTTCAACAGAATTTAATGAAATTTGAGATTTAGCTAGCTTATATTATTCTACAGTTTTTTTGTAAAATCGGACTACTATATCAAATAGATCCCATAGGAACGACCGAGAAATTAATACAATTAAAAATTATAACTTTTCAAGTTTTCAACAGATTTTTATCAAATTTGAGATATAGCCCTTTATATTATTGTACAATGTTGTGTAGTTTTGTGAAAATCAGACTACTATATCATTTAGATAGAGATTAATTCAATTAAAAATTATAACATGTTCAGTTTTCAAAAGATTTCCATCAAATTTGAGATATAGCAATTTTATATCAGTCTTAAATTTTGTTTCAAAATGAAAATCGGAGGACTATATCATATAGGTCGCTAGATGTGGAGCAAAAATGCAAATCTGCGAGTGTAAAACTACAAATACAATATGATTAGGTGAATGAAATGAAAGCAGGTATTACATCATTGTTTTTAAACATAAATATATATAATTTATATGTATGTATATGTATGGATTTCTTGTCATCGGAGTTCCATCTGCAAGGGTATATAAACTTCAGCGTACCGAAGTTAGCTTCCTTTCTTGTTTTAATTCATAGTGATCGATGTTCTATCTGCAAGGGTATGTATTTTCAAGACAGGATGCATTGTTCTCAGGCTTAGCTCTAGGGTATAGTAATTGAGCCATCTACTTATTTTTTAAACGAGCTGACCAATGCTTTTATTAATTCTGAAGTAATAGTGAAACAGATTTCACATTTAACTTTGCGTATAAAATAAGGCTTTTGCTTATCTTAATAGTTTTCAAACTAAGGGTGCAAACTTTTTAAAATTCAATGGTTCTTGATTTATCGCTCAATCGAGCAAGGCGTATAATGTTACAAGAGTGTTTGGACTTAAAATATTATGCGGTGGACAAATGTTTTTAAAAGCCCCCTATACTAAGAAGACCTTATATACTTAGTTAGTTTGATATATTTTAGAGTACTTATCCTTTGCTTCGAGTTCCCAGTGGGAACATTTTACTTTTACCTATAATTCATAAACCCTGTAAGTTGCAAAGTTGGGGAAATTACAACGATGTTTACCTCATTCTTTAACTATATTTCCTATTATATCGCATGTTAACGCCTAACTCTAACAATCACATTTTTGATGTGCCATGAGACAAGGATACTAACAATAGTGAATAACTATTTGTTAAAAAAAACCAAATTAGCCATCTTAACTTTTTTGAGCGTCTCAGGAATGTGTGTAAATGATTTCTCTATTAATATTGGTCAAACTAGTCCTTATACTACAAAGTACGAACTATACTTTAATATTTACCTGAAAATATGTAAATAGTCCAGTAAGTATCACAAGTACGGCTAGAGCCAATCCTAAATATAGGTTATCGTCTGGCGGATCACGCTGCGTATTCGTTTGTATCAAATACCCAATTAAGCAAAGACCAGATCCTACCCAAAGAAGTATAGCAAATCCGCCAAACATTACTTTCAAAAAAACTATCCACTTCGGGGTTGGTGGTGTTGGTGTAAGTATATTGGGACCATATAGTTCCAACCTTTGCTTTGCCTCCGAATGAGATAATCCCTAGGTGTAAATAAATAGTAAAAGCCATCATCATAGAAATTAATTGTAAGGTATACATACCACATTGCGATCGGTTTTTAACCGGTCCAATAGTTCTTCAATTGAAATTTTATGATTATCAGTTTCAACATCTTTTTTATAAGACTGAATATCCTTTTTAGTTTTTTTAGTTTTTTTTTTGTTTCTTTTTTGTTTTTAATGCCCATGTTTTAAATTTTTGTTGTTTATTTACCAACCTTGGATTTTCCTTGTATTCTGATAGAATAAACTTGGATATGTTGATAGGTCTTAAAAAATATGTATATTTTAGTTATGGAACCTTTTCATAATCACCATCACTTCATAGCAAACGGTCATGTTTTTGTTTTGCCCCCCAATGTTTTGTGTTTATTTGCCTTTTAACCCAGCGGGGTTTCCTCTATTTTATCATTAAACATTTTTATTTGTATATATCGTTTATCTACCTCGCATGCATATGTTTCCGCGTTTAGTCTATTAATTACCACTTTTAGTTTTGTGGACAGACGGTTTTTATCTTTTCCTTTTGTTCCTATCCATCTCTTTCCCCCGCTTGAGTGTCGTTTGTTTTTGGCTGCAGAGCAAAGCTCTCGCTTAAGCTCTATTGTTTCTCTTGCTCTATCTCTCTCTCTCTCCTTCTCTCTCTTTCTGACTCTAACTCTTCCGCTCTCCTGCTTTTTTCAGATTTGTTATCGTTCACAGTGGTTCAAGAAATGTAAAAATGTCCTCGATTATGGTCACCAACACCAAATAGGTGTTTCGAATGACCAGTCGAGTCTCCATTGCTGGCTTTGCAACGCGGCAGTGCATACAAAATGCATCGAGAAGGCGGGTCGCATAGCTGATGCAATTTCCAAAGGGGATTGTATTATAGTTGTGAGGCCTGTTGAGAGGTAAATGTTATCCTTCATTCGCCAGACCTGAAGCGGAGTTCTCTTTTATTCATTTTTATGGACGTTAATGCATTACGGTTAGAACACTCAAGTGGCCCGTATGAAACCAAACACGTGCCTGTTAGTGCGATGGATAATATAGAAAAGAATGCGAGGAAATTAATTACCGGCGTACTGCCAGATTATTTGCTTGCATTTGTACTATGTGTCTTAGTATTACATTTTTTAATTTGAGAAGACTATCTACGTTGGAAATTATTGTGTACATATCATTATAATTTTCACATAAGACTCTAAAACGTTCATGCAATTCAAAGGAGGGTCCACAGTAGCGCAACACTAAGGGTATATAGGATCTGGTATTTCTACTTGGTATTTGGTAATTGAGCTGACTCAACAAGTCAGCACTTTCCTCATCACCATGGATAAGGTTATAAGTGAAGGTTATTCCTAGCATCGTTCTACGATTGCCTAAGGACGGTAAGTTTATTAAAAGGAGTCTATTTGAATAGGAAGGTAATCTTGCATCCCAATTTAAACCGCGTAGTGCGAAAAGTAAAGTCAAGTTTTGGGCCCAAGCGGACGCCCAAATCATCAACTGATTTAATTCTTTCCAAAGAGCAGCAGTTCAGGGTGTAAGTAGGAACGACACGACAGAATGTCATTAGCTTGCATTTCGAGCCGTTTAAGTTTAATAAGAATATACGGCACGAAGTATGAAAAATATTTAGATCTGTTTCAATGCAAAGAATTTTTATTGAGCATTTCGACTTTTTGTCAATAGATTTAAAAAATTTATATAGTTATAAGAATAATATATATATAATAATAATAATAATAATAATAATAATAATAATAATAATTTTTTATTTATTTTTTTTTTTTGGGTTGAGGAGGGGAATGCCTAACGCATCTTCCCTATTGCCGTCGCAAAAAAAGGTATGTGGGGCTCGCACCCACTAAACCCCCCCCCCCTCGCATTTGGCCGTGTTCCCACCTCGGAACAGCTTTCGCGTTACTTCAAGGTGGCGCCAATTCAGCGCAATGCGCTCTCATCTTCTTTCTGCGTCCAGATTACCCAGTTAATTCGTCCAGATCTTGCTTCTTAGATCTGAGAATGTTCTGCACGAATCCTGCGATGTGTTTCCACGTGTCTTCGCTGTCTATCATCTTCGTGACAATATTTTCTGGGTTTATTGCCCCAACAGCTTGTTCCAGGCAGTTCCGCGCAGGTCCGAATTTCTTACAGCGGAAAGTGGTGTGTTTAGCACTGTTCATCTCCGCATCTCCATATACGCATCTGGCGCTGGTTCTTTTCCCTATAGAGTGCAGAAAGGCGGCAAAGTAGCCATGGCCAGTCAGCATCTGCGTGACGTAGTAATCCACATCTCCGTGTTTCCTTCCGTACCAAGCTACCAGGTTTGGTAACAGTCTAGCTGTCCATCTTCCCCTTGCTTCGGCTGCCCATCTTTCCTGCCATTGTTGGAGAATTACTTCTCTGGTCCGCTCAATAAAGCCTCTTGTCGTCTCTCCTTCCTGTCTCCTCATATATATTTGTTTTCGCGCTTTGGCCAATAGGTCGATTGGTATGGCGCCTGCAATTACTAGTACAGCAGGGCCGGATACCGTTCGATATGCACTCGCGATTCGTAGAGCCATGGTTCTTTGTACCTCAAGTAGAGGTTTTGACCTGCAGGTTGTCTCAAGGGTGCCTGCCCAGACCTCACACCCGTACAGCATGATTGCGTGATTTATCTCCATTAAGAGTTTCCGCCTTGATTGTAAGGGGCCGCCCACGTTTGCCATGAGTCTGCTAAACGCCTTTGTAGTCTCGGTCGCCCGCTTCTTCGTCTCTTGTATGTGTGCATTGAATGTCAATTTTGAGTCCAGTCTAACTCCTAGGTACTTTATAACCTTCTGCGTCCTTATTAAAGTCTCTCCAACTCTCATGTCTATTTCTAGAGGGATCCTTTTTCTGCTGACTAAAAGTAGCTCTGTTTTTTCGTCCGCCAGTTTCAGGTCGTGTGAGTTCAGCCAGCTTTTTACGCGTGTCATTACTTGCGTCAACATACGTTGTGCGTACCCGGTATTTCAAACTGTAATGACTGCGACTATGTCGTCCGCGTACCCCACAATAGTCGTGCCCTCAGGGATGTCTAGGTGAAAAATTTCATCGTAGCTGATGTTCCAAAGCTCCGGTCCAAGTATTGATCCTTGTGCCGCTCCTGAAGTTATCTCTATACATTTCTCTCCTGCTTTTGTTTGGTACAGTAGTCGTCGGTTCTCAAGATAGCTCTGTATTATCCGCATCAGGTATCCTGAGATTTGGAATCGTCTTTTCAAGGCATCAATTATGTTGTTCCATTTAACGCTGTTGAATGCGTTTTTAACATCCAGTGTTGCTAGGAAAACTACCGGCCTCGAGAAATGGTTGCCTTGTTGGCTGCTGAGCGCTTGCTTGACGACTTCTTGGATTGCTCCAATGGTCGACCTGCCTGGCCTAAAGCCATACTGCATCGGTGAAAGACCCCCCCCCTCTTTCGATCGCTGCTGATAGGCGTGGCTTAATCATTTTCTCTAGTAGCTTCCCGGTAGTGTCAAGCATACATAGTGGTCGATAAGCTGATGGGGTTAGGGGATCTCCTTTGCCCTTACTTATGAGAACTAATCGTTGCCTCTTCCAGATGTCGTGGAATTTCCCGCTGGTAATGCAATCGTTATATATATCCAGCAGGATTTGGGGTCTGCTCTCCGCGATCACTTTGAGGACCTCTGCTGGGATGTTGTCGGGCCCTGGAGCCTTCTTCCCTTTTAAGGTTTTTACCGCTTTTAGTAGCTCGTCCACTGTGAAGAGTTCGATCTGTTCTGCTATTGGTGGAGAAGTTCTCGCTTTACTGTTTGTATGAGTGGGGAATAATGTTTTGACTATATGGTCCATTTGTTCTTCATCTAGTTCTGGTGTTGTGCTTCTTGTTCTCAGCTTCTTCATCACGGTTTTATACCCTAGCCCCCATGGGTCAGAGTTGACGTCGTTGCAGAGGCGTTGCCAGTTTTCCGTTTTGCTCTTCCGGATGGCAGCATTTAAGTCCTTCTTGGATTTCTTAAATTCGTCATTAACTTCTGTGAGAATCCCCCTTCCTCTAGCCCTCGTGAGGGCTTCTCTAAGAGCTTTTATCTCTCCACCAATACGCTTCTTGTCCTTGTCTTCGAGGATTGCCCATTTTTGGCATTGCAGCGTTGCATGCCTGTTTTAAGATTGCCAGGTTGTTGCTAACTGCGTTACCGCCGCTCTGTCGGTTCTGCCTTGCGTCAATTTCTTGTATCAGCCTTGCCTTGTCTAGTCGGTTAACGTTCCATCCTTTTCTCGTTGGTCTCACTGTAGTCACTTCGTTTTCTGCTATGTTAAACGTTATATAGTTATGGTCACTTCCGTTGTAGGTGTCGAGGACTTTCCAATCGGCGATCTTGTGCGCGCAGTTTTCTGTCACTAGGGTTATGTCGGGGATTGTGCTCTCGTTCCCCACTCGATGGAATGTCGGTATTGCTCCTACATTTGCTGATAGCATTCCGATACTTGCTGCCATATTTAGGATTCTACGGCCTCGAGAGTCAGTTGATGCCATGCATGCCCCATACTTGAGCCTATTTCCCTGGCGTTGTCTTCAATACATTTAAGTTTCATCTGGAAAGTCTAAATGTCGTCACTTGGGGTCAAATAGCAGCTGAATATTATCCAGTTTCTGATTTGTGTTAGAACATGACATCTTCCTTTTTTGTCGCCTCTGTGTGAAAGAGTGTTCGGGTCGGGGATCCAAATTGCCGTCGTCTTTGTGTCGTCTTCTAGCCAGACGCCTTCGTCCCGTTTCTTATATTGTTCGCTTATGATAACAACGTCAATTTTGTTTTCCAGCACAATTTAGTGCAGCAGGTCATTTGCCGTTCTGCTTCTATGCATATTTGCTTAAAGAATCTTAATGGCTTTCCTTTCCTGGCCACACTGGGGCAATGCGCCGTCCCAGGGAGGTGTCCGACGTCGCTCCTCTTCTCTGATGTAC